TGCACTATCTTTCTGCGCAACAATGGTGGAATTGGTGATCCTCTTACCATCTTGGCTTCTGAGAGACACTGACACTCTGAGAAGCTCTTTTTATACCCAATCATGTTGTCAATTGACCTAATTAGTGTTAATTGGTCTTCCAGCTGTTCGTTATATGCTCAATTTCCTTTTTCCATCCACTTATTGCTACTTGGCCCAACTTTTTTGGGATTTGTTGACACTGTGAAATTTTGATTCAACATATTTTTCCTTTAAAATGTTACATTTACTCAGATTAAACTTTTGATCTGTCATCTATGTTATATTACAAATAAAATTTTGACATTTGCCATCTCCACATCATTGCATTCAGTTTTTATTCACAATTTGTTTAGTGTCCCAACTTTTTTGGAATCCGGTTTGTACATCCCAGCACACACACCTGGACTGAAGGGATCAGGAGTTGACAGGAGAGACTCATGTTTTAATGAAGTATTGGTGATGAAGTCATTGTTTCCTCCTTTATCCTCTGTTGTAATTTGGTTTTTCCCCAGTTGAATTGCTTTCTTCTGTTTTTCTCCTTTTTGCTATCTTTTCAATACTCAGCCACAGATTTGCTTGTCTTGACTTCATTTACTCTTTCTTCTCTTCAGCGTCATGTTCCTCCAGTTTGTCCCCAAAACTCATCTGTTCTTCACCGCTGGGAAGGACCGCAAGATCAAACAGTGGGATGCTGATAAGTTTGAGCACATCCAGACACTCGAGGTGACGCTCTTGTTCTTGTCTTTTGTACTTTCAGAGAGCTCGGTGGTCAGCAGCAGACAGTTTACTGAAAAATCCACATTTAGTTTATTCATTAAACAACTTCATAATAACATGGTGTAGGTTTAAAATCAGGTGCCTGGGTGTGTTTTTATTGGTCCCCATCGTGGAGTAAAGAGGGGCAAGTGGAAATGCCCTTCTTCTGTCTGTGCATGTTGTGAACATGATGACTTGAAAAATAACTGAGGTACCAACTTCCATTTTGATGTGTGACTGCATCTAGGCACACAAAAGGTTTCTATCAAAAATTAGGTTACCATGTCAAAATCCAAAATGGCCACCACCGTGTACATGTATGTATGTGTATGTGTATATATGTATTAGGGCTGCAACAACAAATCTATAAAACTGATAAAAATTGATGATTAAAAGTGTTGGCAACCAATTTCATTATCAATTCGTTGTGTTGCATGATTAAGCGTCTTTCACGGCGCTGCAGAGCCGTTTTGTTCACGGGCAGTTCATTGTCAATGCTGACTGACTGAATAAAGTTTGAAGAAAAAAACTGCAGAGCGAGTTGAACAGAGTGAGGGGGGAGGAGGAAGCAGAGCAGAGGCTGTTTTCAAAGGAAATTAAGTAAATTTTACAAATGACCGACGCAGAGAAAACTGTTTGACCCAAGTCCTCCAAAGTGTGGGAGAACTTCACAAAGATAAAAACTGAGAAATATGCTGCTTTGAAAAGTGACGACACGACACGGGAGAATCACAGAGATGAAACGTAAACATGTCGGAGTCACGAGGAGGAGGAAAGAGCTGCAGCTGATACAACTCTTCATGTGTTGCAGGTGAGTCTCTACAATTTAACACTTTGTTCTGTTTCAAGAGAGAAAATGTAACGTCAGTCTGTCTGTAGATGAAGCTGTTTGTTTGTTTGTTTGTTTGTTTATCTGATTAATGACGGTGATAGAGAACGTGTGTTACTTTTTATTTAATTTAATTGGTACAAGCAGTGTTTAAATGTGATTTATGAATAAATCTAACACAAAGATAATAATTTAATGATTAAGCTTCAACTTTTAATTTGCTGGCAAAGTCTGAAGACACTGCAGGTATGGCAGGATGAATTGCATTTAAACAGGAATTAAAGTAATTTATTACATCTACTCAAATGTGTGTAATTAGGTATTTTATATGTGTGTGTGTGTGTGTGTGTTTGCTCTTTTAGCTACTTTTGCCTGAACCTAACGCTGTAAGTGAAACAAGGCATGTCTTGAGTTGCTGTAAATTATGATATAAAACATATTTACTGTCTCATTCCAGAAAACAACAACAAACAACAACAACACTTCATGATGGACAGACATCATGGACACCACAGCAGCAGCTGTCTTCACTGAAACATCCTGAACATGATCGTCACTGACATGAGGCCTCTGTCGATGGTTGAAGACGAAGGCTTCACTACAATAATCCACACTTTTAATCCAGGTTACAATAATCCACACTTTTAATCCAGGTTACAATAATCCACACTTTTAATCCAGGTTACACTCTTCCCTCAAGGACACATTTTACAAAGTAGCTACATACTGTGCAGGTATAAAGATACATTTGTATATATTTTTGTGTACATTTATTTTTTTAAACTATTTGACTAACTTTTATTTTTTATTATTCAATATTTTACTAACAGAATAGTCAAATAGCAACCTGCTTTTTGTGTGAATTGCTGTCAGTCAAATGTTCAATTTTGGAATAAAGGGGTGGAAATTAAAACGTAGTTTTTTTTTAGCCGATTCATCGATTAATTGAAAAAATAATCGTCCGATGAATCGATTATTGAAATAATCATTAGTTGCAGCCCTAATGTGTATATATATGTATATGTATGTATGTAAGCCCCTCCTCCTTTTAAGCCCTTCCTCTGAGACGGGCAGACTAAGCGCGGCTGACCGAAATCAGACTGCCTGCTTCGAACTGAACGAGAAGAACACACCGCTGAAGCCCCGGAGCTCGAATGTCCATCGTAAAACTAACTTTACCGTGGTTTAATGTGGCGCTATGTCTCTGCAGACAGTGCACGTTGCTGTCTTGTTTTGTGGTGTTTAGTGTAAAATACTTCCACACAGCGGACGTTTAGATGAAAAGTTGGTTAGCTGTTAGCCACAGTGCTGCTAACTCAGCCCTCACGTTGTAGCTGCTGCAAACTATGAAATGGATTTCCCGAATGTGAGGCGGGTCTTATTAATAATAATAATAATAATGTCATCACAATGTCAGCACTGTATGTTTCCATACAATGGCAAAATTAGTCTCTGCATTTAACCCATCCACCACCAGGTAGTGCAGTGGGCAGCTATTGAAAGCGCCCGGGGGACATTTTGGGGATGAGGCGTGCTGCCCAGAGACGCCACGTGATGTGCAGTGACTGGGGATCGAACCTGGGACTTTCGGGTCCCAAGCCGGCTGCCCTGCCTCTACACCATCTCGGCCCTCGATATTATTACTCTGGGTTCATGAGACACGCCGCCGTTCAGGAAGTCCATTCCATAGTTTGAAGCCAACGTGCAGAGCAGCTGGCAGGGAATCACATGTGGAGACTTTTCATCAGACACAGACATGCATCATGGATCGGAAAATCCAATACATAAATTTTGCTGGTATTGGAGGCCGATACCGGAGCTGATCGGCCTCATCCCTAGTTTTGATTCTGTTGTTAAAACAACACATGGTCTAAAATCTTAATTGACATAATTTCTGTAACAGTTGATAAAAAATATGCTTAATGACTTAAAAACAAGCAGTTTGTGTTTTGGATTCCCTCTGAATCTGTTTCTTTCTCGGCCTCGTGGGTCCTCTCTCTCCTTTTTGGGTCAAAGGGCCACCATCGGGAGGTCTGGTGTGTGGCCATCAGTCCAAACGGAGACCACCTCGTGTCATCTTCTCACGACAAGTCTCTGCGTCTGTGGGAGAGGACGAGGGAGCCCATCATCCTGGAGGAGGAACGGGAGATGGTGAGGTGGACCACAGGGGTCTTTGACTCATCTATCAGCTGACTACAGATGTTGTTGTTTTCTGTCTCTGATGTTTTTCCTCTGAATTCCCAGGAGAGAGAAGCAGAGTTTGAAGAGAGCATGGCCAAAGGAGACATGCCTGTGGTGAGATTCTTTTTCTCAGTTTACTCACTTCATCAGAGTTTTTATTTATTTTATTTTTCATCAGCCATATTTAAAAATCACAAAACTTTGTTAATGTTGGAACTGAACATGAGGAATTACACAAATACTGTATTTTTCGCTGTATAAATCGCAATTTTTTGAATAATTTGCATCCCCTGTGTAGGGCCGGGTACCATTCAAAAAAATCGGTGTCGGTACCTTCACGTCGGTGTTGGTTCCTGGACGGTTCTATTTTTGGTACCAATTTTATAATTAATATTAATTCTAGCAAGAATAAAATTACATTACACATTACAGTACAAATTGTGAGTTTTATTTTTTTAACTTTGGTATTTTTCTATTCACTGAGGTTAGGGTTGATGCAGACTTATGCACCTCTGTGTCTCTGCCTAAATATCCTGATGCATGCTCAATAATCCAGGTAGAAAAATCCAAAAAAGTTCAATCTGGTCCTCTGGGCATTCCAAAAAACAAAACAAAGCAAAAAAATACAGAAATGTTTCGTCTCTCATCCGAGAGACTTCCTCAGTCTGAGGTGCTGTATTCAGCTCAGTCTCTTAAATAGCACCTTCTCAGAGTGGATCAACCAGTTTGCTGCTGACAACCAAAACCAGCTGATCACATGGTCAAGAAGGACCATCAGCCTAACAATGGATCATTAGCACCTGATGGCTGTTTACTGTTCACAGAGGGCTGAGTGATACTAGCAATCACAGCATTGTAAGAGGGGGACAGTTGAACCCGGAGGCTCCACCCCTGTTTAATGATGGACGATTTCTTTTCACAAAGATGGCCTCCTTTACTCCTCTCTCAAACCATCGTTCCTCTCTGTCCAGGATGTGAACATCTTCATCCCTGAAAGAGTGACCGCTGGCCTGGAGATTAGTGTAGACCGCAGAGTCCTGGCCTGATGATGTTGATCTTTGTGCTGGGCCATCCTTTTGGCCAGTGGCTGTTTAGTTTCCCCAATGTCGTCAACTCAGGTTGACGACACCTGGGTTAAAATTAAATCTCAGGAAGTCCAACATTTTACTGACCACATCAACTCTGTGGATAAATACATCAAGTTCACACGAGAAGATGTAAAAAATGGCAGGTTGTCTTTCTTGGACTGTGAGGTCTCAGTCTCTGATAGAGGACATTTGCAAACTGAGGTGTACCGCAAACCCACCCACACAGACCAGTATTTGCAGTTTGACTCCCATCACCCTTTGGAGCACAAGTTAGGAGTCATCAGGACTCTGTACCACAGAGCAGACAGCGTCCCCACTAGCTCAGGAGCCAGGCAGAAGGAGAAATCCCACACAAGACAGGCTCTAGAGCAATGTGGATATCCTAACTGGGCCTTCCTGAAAGCAGAGAAGAAACCCAAACAGGACTCCAGTCAGCCAAGAGGTGAAAAGGAGGAACCCAGACCCAGACCAGTGGTCATTCCATATGTTGAGGGAGTATCAGAGAAACTGAGACGTTTATTTTCTAAACATAACGTCCCAGTGGCTTTTAAACCCCTAAATACATTACGGCAAAGACTGGTTCATCCCAAAGATCCAGTCCCTGGCACAAACAGAGTAATGTTGTGTATGCTGTTCAGTGTCAGGAGGGTGATCAGTCTTACATCGGGGAAACTAAACAGCCACTGGCCAAAAGGATGGCCCAGCACAGAAGATCAACATCATCAGGCCAGGACTCTGAGGTCTACACTCATCTCCAGGCCAGCGGTCACTCTTTCAGGGATGAAGATGTGCACATCCTGGACAGAGAGGAACAATGGTTTGAGAGAGGAGTAAAGGAGGCCATCTTTGTGAAAAGAAACCATCCATCATTAAACAGGGGTGGAGGCCTCCGGGTTCAACTGTCCCCCTCTTACAATGCTGTGATTGCTAGTATCACTCAGCCCTCTGTGAACAGTAAACAGCCATCAGGTGCTAATGATCCATTGTTAGGCTTATGGTCCTTCTTGAGCATGTGATCAGCTGGTTTTGGTTGTCAGCAGCAAACTGGTTGATCCACTCTGAGAAGGTGCTATTTAAGAGACTGAGCTGAATACAGTACCTCTGACTGAGGAAGTCTCTCGGATGAGAGACGAAACATTTCTGTATTTTTTTGCTTTGTTTTGTTTTTTGTTTTTTTGAATGTCCAGAGGACCAGATTGAACTTTTTTGGATCTCTGCCTGAATCTTCTCTGTGGTTCTCTGGTGTTCAGGGCTCTGATCATCTCCCTGATTGACATGAGAACAAAACATCAACAATAACATGGTTGTGTTATTATTGATCAAAAACATTATCTAGGCTGAGAGAGAAAAGCTTAACTGGTCAACATAATTATTTACAGCTTAACTTACCTCCACCATGCAGCCTCCACTATAGTTAGAAGCAGCAAACTTTTAACAACAAAGTTTGTGACTGTCCTGTGGCCCCCACCTCATTTTGCTGTTGTCTGTCCTCCTCACATCATGATCAGAGGCTCCTGTGAGGAGAACATAAACAAACAGTGAACATTAGGTGAACTGTTTAAGCAGCTGATCCGATGGATGCACACATTTTTACAAGCTTTATCTCTTAGTGTCAATCTTTAGTTACAGTGCCTTGTGAAAGTTTTCGTCCCCCTTGAACTTTTCAACCTTTTGCCACATTTCAGGCTTCAAACATAAAAATATAAAATTTAAAAATTTTTTTTGAAGAATCAACAACAAGTGGGACACAATCGTGAAGTGGAATGAAATTTATTGGATGTGTCAAACTTTTTTAACAAATAAAAAACTGAAAAGTGGGGTGTGCAGTATTATTGGGCCCCTTTACTTTCAGAGCAGCAAACTCAGTCCAGAAGTTCAGTGAGGATCTATGAATGATCCAACGTTGTCCCAAATGACTGATGATGATACATAGAATCCACCTGTGAGTAATCAAGTCTCTGTATAAATGTACCTGCTCTGTGATAGTCTTAGGATTCTGTTCAATGCACAGAGAGCATCATGAAGACCAAGGAACACACCAGGCAGGTCCGAAATACTGTTGTGGAGAAGTTTATAGCTGGATTTGGATACAAAAAGATTTCCCAAGCTTTAAACATCCCAAGGAGCACTGTGCAAGCAATCATATTGAAATGGAAGGAGTATGAGACCACTGCAAATCTACCAAGACCCAGCCGTCCCTCTAAACTTTCATCTGGAACAAGGAGAAGACTGATCAGAGATGCAGCCAAGAGGCCCATGATCACGCTGGATGAACTGCAGAGATCTACAGCTGAGGTGGGAGAGTCTGTCCATAGGACAACAATCAGTCGTACACTGCACAAATCTGGCCTTTATGGAAGAGTGGCAAGAAGAAAGCCATTTCTCAAAGATATCCATAAAAAGTGTTTAAAGTTTGTCACAAGCACCTGGGAGACACCAAACATGTGGAAGAAGGTGCTCTGGTCACACAAAACCAAAATCCAACTGTTTGGCATAAAAGCAACACAGCTCATCACCCTGAACACACCATCCCCTCTGTCAAACATGGTGGTGGCAGCATCATGGTTTGGGCCTGCTTTTCATCAGCAGGGACAGGGAAGATGGTCAGAATTAATGAGAAGATGGATGGGTTCAAATACAGGACCATTCTGGAAGAAAACCAGTTTGAGTCTGCAAGAGACCTGAGACTGGGACGGAGATTTATCTTCCAACAAGACAATGATCAAAACATAAAGCCAGATCTACAATGGAATGGTTCACAAATAAACGTATCCAGGTGTTGGAATGGCCAAGTCAAAGTCCAGACCTGAATCCAATTGAGAATCTGTGGAAAGAGCTGAAGACTGCTGTTCACAAACGCTCTCCATCCAACCTCACTGAGCTCCAGCTGTTTTGCAGGAAGGATGGGCAGAACTTCAGTGTCTCCATGTTCAAAACTGATGGAGACAAACCCCAAGAGACTTGCAGCTGGAACTGCAGCAAGAGGCGGAGCTACAAAGTGTTAACGCAAGGGGCCCAATAATATTGCACGCCCACTTTCAGTTTCCATCCATCCATCCATTTTCTTCCGCTTATCCGGTGTCGGGTCGCGGGGATAGCAGCCTAAGTAGGGAGGCCCAGACTTCCCTCTCCCCAGCCACTTGGGCCAGCTCTTCCGGGGGAATCCCGAGGCGTTCCCAGGCCAGCCGAGAAAATAGTCCCTCCAGCGTGTCCTGGGTCTTCCTCTGGGCCTCCTTTCGGTGGGACGTGTCCGGAACACCTCACCAGGGAGGCGTCCAGAAGGCATCCTAAACAGATGCCCAAGCCACCTCAACTGGCTCCTCCCGACGTGGAGAAGCAGCGGCTCTACTCCG